AACGCTGCTGGTGCGTCAATGTCCGGTCAGACGCTTATCGACCTGCTCGATTGAATGATGTGGTCCTCTAAGCATTGTTTGGTGCTTGTTGGGTGGCACGTGTTTTGCTGCCTGGTGTTCGCTCTCGGAGATCGTGGAGCTACGTGGAATTTGTGCTGCCTTTGTCGTACCTGGTGCTCCGCAAGGGAAGCAGGTGGAGAGACTAGGCCACTAGGCTAGAAAAGGCAATCAAGAGGCGTGAAGGTCTCCTGCCGGGGAAAAAAAAAGATTGAAACACCTTGACTATACCTTCGATGGATTGGAAAGTGAAGGGTGCAGTTCATTTATACAAGGAAGAGGACTATAGGAAACAAAGAAATATTCACATATAAAATACACGCGTACTTCCATTAATTAGAGTCACTTGGTACGTACATATGGTGTGTGAAGGTACTCGTGTCTTGCTCCTGGGCTCGAAAATCCGTCGCGGCATGGTTACGTTGTACAGTATGTATGTATGTATGTACGTACCCGCGCGTACGGGATGCATGGGTGAGCAGCGCTAATTACCTGCTTCTACGCGCCATCTCGGGCCGGCTGATCGACGTGGACTATTTTGCACTTGGAGTCACGCCCTCCGACCGTCCGCGCCATCTTGTCTCGACCGAATCACGGTTAACGTTGGATATATTCACTCGATTGCCATCTCATCGCACGAGCCCGTCGGTACGAGTGCGCCGCGCGCACGACCCTATTCCGCAGCGTCGCAGCGAAGTCAGCAGCTGCCACTCCGCTCGAAGCGGTCACGCCTGCCCATTGCGAACCATGGTTTGCATGACCTCGGAGCCGTTCGCTCTTGCCCATTGAAACATCTGCAGGTTTCTTTTTTTTTTCTAAGAAAGCTTCTGATCCTTATTGCTCGGTGCTGAGCATCTATCAGGCACCGAAGCTGCTGTCATGGATGATGAAGATCGTTTCTCGGCAAGCTCGCCGGAGTCAGACCGACAGAACGAGCCAGATGAGGTCATGGATGATGGCGACGACGGGGAGAACGACGCGGAGCAGGACGATGACCATAACGAAGAGGATGATGACAACAACGACGATGATGGCGACGGCAACGATGGCGAAGATGGCGGGGACGAGTCCCAGACCATCATCGCGAACGAGCCAGGGCTGAGGTCCGACGGCAAGTCCAGCAAGTCCAACACTCCTGTAACTGCCATATACAAGCCGTATCTCCGACCCTCGATCCGCCCCGAAGCCATCACAGCGCGACTTTACGATATCGTGCCTACAATGGCGGCCCCCCAGTCGACGAGCATTAACGCCTTGGCCATCACGCCGGATCTCCGATACTGGATTACGGGAGGATCGGATGGCTATATTCGCAAATATGACGGTCCGGGAACCATCAATGGCAAGCTGCCACTCACCGTTGCTCAGAAACACCCCTTTGTGGACAGCGTCACCAAGGCTGGCATTTTAATGTCCTACTGGGAAAACGAAGAGCCATCGGCGCCGGGCCGCGGCGACCAAGACCACAATCTATCACCCGTATATTCTTTGGCAGTCCACTCCGAAGCGCTGTGGCTGCTGTCTGGGCTAGAGTCGGGTGGCATCAATTTGCAGAGTGTTCGGCACGACGAAGGAAAGAAAATTGCGTGCCTGCGGCAGCACAAAAACGCCGTCAGCTCGCTTATGCTCGCGCCGGATGAGAAGAGCGTGCTGAGCGGCGGCTGGGACAAGAATCTCTATGACTGGGACTTGAACACTGGCTACACAATACGTAGCTTTGATGGATCAGGCGGTCAGATATCCTCAATCGAGCTGCGACCGGCTTGTGGCGATCCCGTCCCTCCCGAGGCCGACGAACCAATTCTGTCGACCACTATTTCGACAAACAATGGTGCTTCCTTGTCCAACGGCATTCCCAACGACGAGTCTGGCGTGGTAAATGCAGTGGAAGGCGACAGCTTCGTTGCGTTGGAGCGACAGGGCGGCGCGTCGCCAACTCATGAAAGTCTCTTTGGCGGTAGCGATGCTGGGAGCCTGTTTGGAGAGACAACCGGCGAGCAGCCATTCGGCAACGATGACGACGGGTACGGCGCCGGCTTGGATATGATGCCGGTCCATGAAGGCGGGATGGATCATTCTGCCGACTTCGCCATGGCGGATATAGGAGTCAAAGAAAATGCCGAGGACGCGCAAGTGTCATCTTCCCAGTCAATGCACTTGCAGACGCAACATTCATCGCAAGATGCCATGTCCTTTGACAGTAAGCTGGTGACCGAGACGAGTGAAGCGCCTTTGTCAGACAGCGCAGACGCGCCACAAGCAGAAGCAGGAGCAGAAGCAGGAGCTGAAGCAGGAGCTGAAGCTGAAGCTGAAGCAGGAGCTGAAGCTGAAGCTGAAGCAGGAGCAGAAGCAGAGGCAGAAGTGGAGGCAGAAGTGGAGGTAGAGGTAGACGCAGAGGTAGACGCAGACGCAGAGGCAGAGGCAGAGGCGGAGGCAGAGGCAGAGGCAGAGGCAGAGGCAGAGGCAGAGGCAGAGGCAGAGGCAGAGGGAGAAGCAGAGGCAGAGGGAGAAGCAGAGGCAGAGGCAGAGGCAGAGGCAGAAGCAGACGCGAAAACGACACCCGAGGCGGAAACAGCACAGCTTCTAGACGACGACCCTTCGAGGGATGACGACGAGAAGATAATGGCCCAGCTAGTTGAAGACAAGAATGCCTTGAGACGGTCGCCATCGCCGGCGTCGCCGGGGATTACAGTGGCCAAAACCCCGTCCCAACACGTCGATCAATCTCAAATGTCCACTAGTACTTTTCTGTCGTCGGCGATTGACGGCACTATTCGAATATGGGATAGGCGCGTTCCAAATGCTGTCGCTAGAATCGGCACCCGGCAAGGCGTCCCGCCATGGTGCATGAGCGCGTGCTGGAGTCCTGACGGCAACATGATTTATGCGGGGAGAAGGAACGGCACCGTGGAGGAGTACGATATTCGAAAGGCAAGGAGAGGGTGGGAGCCCGAAAGGGCTCTCCGATTTCCCACGGGCAGCGGTGCAGTGAGCGCTGTGAGGAGCATGCCGAATGGACGGCATCTTGTATGGTATGTCTTGTTGTCTTTTCTTTTGATTTTTCTTCTCTCTCTCTCTCTCTCTCTCTCTAGACCAAAGCCGGCTGTTGTCCTTTTCCTCGCTCCTGACCAAGCTATGCAGCGCATCCCACGATATTCTCCGACTGTACGACCTCCGCGACACTCGCGCATTTAAGCACTCTACCGTCCCTTTCCTCATCATTCCTGGACCGCCGCGGGCAGGCGTCATATCCTGTTTGTACATTGATCCAACCAGTAGGTTTATGTTGAGCGCGGCGGGTACGCGGGGCTGGGAGGGGAGTAGCACAGAGGCGCTGATTGGGTATGAGATTCATGTTGTAAATGAGTAGCCGGGCTGTTTATGCCCTTTTTTAATATGTTTTCTATTTTTTTCTTTTTTCTATTCTTTTTATCTGGGCGGGAGGTGTAGTGGGGGTGTTTCAACTGGCGTGGTTGGCAAGCATGGAGTTTGCGTCCACATTGAATTAGGGTGTGTACGAGGCATCTGGGCAGAAATCAGGACTGCCATTGAATACAATAGCATTACGCCGCCATGCAGACGAGCACCTTGGACTTTGATGCCATTGTTGTATGATGTCTGGCCGAGGCGAAGGAGCTACTTGGTGCCTTTGGGCTGACGTGGTCGTGCTTGAGGGTTTAAGGTGCGATGTTGCGCAGAGGAAACCAACGCCATAAAGCATGCTTCGGCTCGAAAAGATGTGACGGGTCCCGACAATCAAGGGGAACTCCCAGACTTCCAGAGTGCCATCTCGACCCCAACCAGTCTGTTCTTGAGGGCCGGGTCCGGTTCGTACTTTTTAGATTGGGGCGAGGGAGAAACTAAATGGGCAGACACACGACCAAGCACACGGCGAGATCGACCACACAGACGCAGGCTCTCCAGCACATGCCACAGCAAGAAGCCCAGCACGCGGCGCAGGTCCGCCAACAACTTTGCTACCTGCAATCGCACTACCAGGACGGGGCGGTATGCCCAGTTTCCGGAGGCGGCGCTGGGACGCCATGCGCCGGAAGCCGCGCGGGTGGCCGCCGCGCAGCAGCAGGTGCAGAGCCCGGTCTGGCAGAGCACGCCGGCGTCTCGGCCCGTGAAGCCGGGCTTTCTGGACAGACACGGTCTGCGGGGGGCGGGATCCGCGCGGACAGGCCGTGTACTCGCTTTTGCCGGCACGCATGCGCCGGGACTATGACGACCGGAGGCTTGAGAGGGACGAGAGGCTGGCGAGGGAGTATCCGAGGGCGAGGATGGGGGAGTCGGCTGCGGTCGAGTATGAGCGGCCGGGTCGTGGCTTGACGTGTGGTGCCGAGCTTGGTCCGCGGGGACAGGAATGGCCCGATGGAGTTGACGCGGGTGCGGGAGAACCGCGGTGATGGTGGTAGGCTGTGCTTTTGCGGAGGTGGACTTTCGTGGGTCGGGAGGGGCTTTATCCAAGATTCGAGATGGAAATCATGGTCGGATTGGAAGCATGATTTTTCTGCATCGTATCAACAAGACTGCCTGCCTCGCCGCCATGAGAAAGAGCAACACGCGTGATTTACAAAGTACAAGTCCATTCTTCGCATCCTAGTCATCCACTTCGCAACAAATAAACACATGTCTAGTTCTTGCCCGTCATGGCTATCAATACAGCACCTTTTCCTTTGCGGCCCGAATTGTTTGTCATACGCAGCTCCTTGACATGTGTAACTTTACTCGTCAGACGGACTCAACTAGATCAAAAATAAAGTCAACGTAACACATTTATGGGTTTGCCGACCGTACCACGGCACCACATGGCAGGCCGAATGGGATAGGACATGCTCAAGCTGGCCAAACTTTAGAAAAAAAAACGGGACGACGCTGCAAAAAGGGGACGTGTTCGAAACGACGTGAGCAAGTTATTCACAAAATAAGAACTTTTGCATTGCGTAATCTGGGAATCGAACCCAGGGCTCCCCGATATTGCGGATGGCAACGGAGAATTTTACCACTAAACCAATTACGCTTGTTGAGTAGGCGTCAGATAGATAATATTATAGAGTATTGACACGTTCTCATGCTGCACGAAATGCAGCGCCAGCGGCGACCTCTCCATGGAGGCATAGCCTACGTCAGGACACCATTAATCATGGCCGGCAGTGCCTTGTCGTGCGACGAATGACGGCGTCATCTTGCTCCAGTGCGCCTCCGCTGGTACAGTGGGCTCAGGTAATTCCATGCAATTTGCCATACGATTTGGTGTGCAAATTGAGGATGACTTACGAACCACTGTAACTCTAGTTGATCCACATATTGCGGTTATTGTCATCTCGCGTCATCAGGCTAGTGTCGTCTCCTTTGAGACTAGCGGCCTCTTTGATTGGTTGAAGCGGGAGGCTTCGGCAGGCGCCGTAAGCTAGGTACCTAGACCTGCCGTAGTACAACTGATGCAGATTGGACCCTTGACTCTGCAGTCGTTTCCCATTGCCCGGCCCTGGGCTGGCTACCATTGCGCTGCCAGCGCATCTCATCAAGAGTAGCAAGTTCCGCCGCTGAGGATAACGGTCAAACAATATATGCAGAAAAATGGCCTTGCGCGATGCATCTGTTATTTATTCGCCTCGCTCATGCACTCTATTTTTATTTTCTATCAAGGGTTTGTGTTGGGCCCATTTTTCTTGTCGTGAAAAGAATGAA